TCGTTGACTACACTGTTTTCACTAACAATACGGCGAACCCTCAGGAACTGGCTGTATGGAATAGAGCAGGTCGTTGAGGAGAATGGAAACTGTTCACATGTAGCATGCTGTTGGAATCTGCAGGTTTAGTATATAAGTCTGTCCATAGGGATCCATCCTGTTTACTGACTTGTAAATGCAAGAAATTAACAGCGAGTGCTGATGGTGCTGGTAAACTGGATGTCCCTATGGTATTGATTTAGGTTCAACAAACAAGTTCTGCCCGGGTTCCGTGCCACAGCTCCTCAAAATCTGTCATGAAAAGGTTTGCGTATGAGGGTGCCATTTTCGCCCCCATCGCATTTCCTTTGACTTGTTCATAGACGATTGTTAGATCTCTAGAAAAATTATTTCTCAAAACAATCTCTAGCAGGGTAGTTACAAATGTGCACAATCTTTCATCTACCAGAACACTAGACAATTTGTCCTGTATTATCCTCAAGCCTTCATTGTGGGGTATGGATGTATAGAGGCTAGAAACATCAAGTGTCATAAGTAAATCTGTAGGCTCAACTTATAATTGTCTGATTTTTACAAGGAAATCTTTGGTGTCTTGAATTTGCCCAAAGTCACCAAAGGCTGTAGAAAATGGTCTATAAAAATGGCCCGGCTCTGGAAGATAGAATCTGTTCCAGCATATATATACCACACGCATACAATTGTGTAGCTTTTCATACTCTGTTGCACTATTGTTTTCTTTTCTGCTTCTCTTTTATGTAAATTAGATCTTATCACCCCACATTTGTATAGGGGTAAGTTTGGATTATCTTTAAGCGCTGCACTCATACTTTGATGTTTTTGTGGTGGTGGTCCATCACCTAAACATTGCGGTATTTGTTTTAATGGGACACCTTTAATAAAGGGGAGCTAGTTGAGAGTTTGAGGATTGGTTACCCTTGAAAACTACACATCTGATTTAGAAGTTCTAACTTAATTGCTTTGTGGAGCCAACCCTATATATTGGAGATCCTTTCAGTCTGCCATTTGCCTCTGACTAAGTTGCACCGAAATGCTTGTTGTCTTTTTTTATTATATCCCTGTGCACTTTATTTGCACTATGCACTTTTAAATGTATTTGTTTATGTAACAGATCACCTGGCACCCCGACTGGGTACTTCCGTTGATAGATGCTCCTAGTGCTTCCCGAGGGCTCCAAGCACTCCACTCAACACCATAAGCAAACCTCTCTTCCTTCAGAGAGCAAAGCAGGAACAAGCTCTTATAAGAGCTTAGTGATTATAGCCAGGGGAGTATGTAGAGTATAGCAATCCCCCAGTGTAAATGCAGCCTTTTCCCCCACACATGAGACGAGGCTCTATGTTGAGGGTAAAACAGGAACTCAGGAGTCTGAGGGTTTATTGTCTTATATGCAAGTTGTTACACAATGTTACCACCCACATGGTTTTGTGGCACAGCCAATCAAATACATTATAATACAGTTAAACACTCCCATTCATTCCAACAAAATCCTCCCCTCTGCCTGTGATAGAATTACTGTACACAATGGGCTAATGTAATTATCACAGGAAAATACAGTTTTTATACAATTCTTATAACTTTAAAAGTATACATGCAATATTAATAAAAGTTACAAATTCTAACTCAGCATACTCCATATACACACATATGCAAAAATCATACAATTCCCTCCAGTGGTTTAAAAGTTAGGGGGAAGTCCTTTTTGACAGAGAAGGGACAAAGCAGCCAGTTCCAACTGGTCTGGCAGGGTCCCTGGGACAATGCCCTGCTGGAGAACAATGGGACAGGACGGGGGAGAGGAAGAGGCACACCTTCCCATGGATTCAAAGGGGCAGAAAAAGTGTCCCAAAATCTAATAAGTCCAAACAGACTTTTTAAATGGCAATACTTCCCAGGGGCCATAGTCATTGTTACATAGTGACATAGTTACATAGCTGAAACGTTCAGCCTTCCTCACATTTGTTTTTTGCTGTTGATCCAAAAGAAGGCAAAAAACCCAGTTTGAAGCACAATTTTGCAACAAGCTAGGAAAAAAAATTCCTTCTTGACCCCAGAATGGCAGTCAGATTTATCCTTGGATCAAGCAGTTATTACCCTACATTGAAAGATTATATCCTTGAATATTCTGTTTTTGCAAGTATGCATCTAGTAGATGTTTGAACATCTGTATGGACTCTTCAGGCAGAGAATTCAACATCCTTATTGTTCTTACAGTAGTAAATCCTTTCCTTTGCCTTATTGATGAACTTCCTAGTTCTAATGATTATACCACTATTCTCATGGTTGTGAACCGTTTTTCTAAAATGGCTCATTTTATTCCTCTCAAGAAATTGCCGTCATCTCAAGACCTGGTACTAATCTTTATACGAGAAATTGTCCGTCTGCATGGCATTTCTCACAATATAGTATCTATAGTATCTGGTTCTCAGTTTGTGTCCAGGTTTTAGAGGGCCCTCAATAAACAATTAGGGATTGAATTGTTTTTTTCATCCTCTTACTACCCCCAGACCAATGGTACAGCTGAGAGTCCAGTCCTTGGAATTATATTTGCGTTGTTTCGTAGCACTCAAGACAATTGATCCGAATTGCTACCATGGGCCGAGTTGTGGCGAGCAGCAATTAATCCACAGGAGGGTTTGTGCTGAGCAGCAATCATGCAAATGGCAACCTTGTAACTGCTTTTGGGGTCAAAGGCCGGTTACAACCAATCAGATCCACAGGTGGGGTATTTAGGCCCAGTTCTCCTCTTGCTTTGTGCCCTGTCGTGGTTTCCCTTGTGGTTGTACGAGAGCACATTATTGATTCTTTTTTTTTTTTTTTGGTTATTTGACTTTGGCATTGTTTTTGACTTCCTTGTTTTCTGGCATCCCTGACCCCTGGCTTTTCCTTATCATTGTGTCTCTTTCTGTATCCCTTGATCTCGGCTATTTCTGACTATTCTTTGGTACGTTAGTCCGGCCATTCTAAGGTCCGGTATACGTTACCTATCAGTACTCTGTGTTACACAATTCTACGTGCTGGATCATTCTGTAATCCTGACAAGGTGAGGGCATGTTTGCAACACATTAAAAACTAGCCACAGGGCAGCTGTTGGTGCCCAACCAATAGAAAATGCCATACCCAATGGGGAAGAAGCCTGTGAAATTATGGGGGCATATAGTTACACATGCCCCCACTTGTGAGTATCAGGTGGGGGCTATATCCAATTTTAAGTTAGGACTGCCAGTGGGCAAATGGTTCTTCAAATTATCATTTCACTTACACATGGCAAGAGATGGATGTTTGCGAACGTGTTTCCTGCCGGATGTATTTGGTTTATTTTCGGCCGCCATGCAGTCATTGATAGATCTCAGATTCTGGTGATATAAATTGGTTCAGATGCGGATATTAGTGATATTCCAAACCAATGCTACAGAATTGGTTGGACTGATAGTATCCTGACAACATGCTTTAATAAATCGCCAATTGCCAATGGGTTCGGGATTCGGTCATTTTCATCCGATTTTTTTTAAATCCAGTGTTTACTGAATTA